TCAGCAGCCGGCAGCCTCTGAAATTCACTGCCATCTCACAGGAAACACTTCTCCCCAGGTGGACCAGAAGATCAGTGGGTTGCTGACCACCCTGAGTCCGGAACTGCTTGTGGATCTGGTGTGGTCTCTGTGCATGCTGCAACAGGTCAAGGTTCCCTACCTGCAGAGTGTGTTGGGGCCAGCATTCGAAGAGCATCTGCTACATAAAGGCAAGTATCTGTTCCAGGTGTCTGTTTTCAGTGTGCCTAGGACTGGGGTGTACTGGGGGAGAGGGGGCTGCTGGCTCCTATGTTCACGACACCTGGGTCAGGCTGGAGCTGAACTGTCCTTGGCTAGTAGGTTACACGAGTGGAGTCTTGTTCCATTTTTATTGGGGTGTCTGTCCAGGCTACCTCAGGCAGCCCTGTGCTGTGAGGGGTGAGAAGTGCATAAGTGTCGGCCAGTCGCACTCCTCCACCCCCACGAGGTCCATCTAGACCCAAGGTGGAATGTGCTGGCTGGGCCACCTCGCTGGGGGTCCTTGGCCTGCTGCTGCCTCTGACAGAAGCAACAGCCAGGAGAGCCAGGAAGTGGGGAGGAGCTGCGAGGTCTCCACTGTCCTTGGGCATCTCTTCCGAATGGCTGTGGCAGCCAGGACACAAACCCCTGGGCAGTGCCAGTTTTGGCCTGGCCTGCTCTTTGCTGGGCACTTGGCTTTGGCACTTGGGAGTGAGAAGAGCACTGGTTTGGCTGCCTCCACACCCATATTGCTCTGCCAGTGACCATAGCCCCAAACCCCCACACAAAGCAGCTCGGTCCTGCCCTGCAGCAGCTCTCGCCACCCCTGCTCTGGGCAGAGACTGCTGCATGCCAGCCAGGCGCAGATCAGTCTGAGCACTTTGACGCCCCAGCCTTATAATGGAAATCAGGGCCGGGGCTGGGGCCAGCGCCAGAAAGCTGGCTCTGCCAATCCATTTGCAGGGCCCTGGTAGCACAGTTAGTGCCCGTCATCTACAGCCTTGTCAAATTTCAGTGCTCGCCTCCTCTGTGGTAGGCGTTGGCCCAGCCGGCTACCACAGCATCACTGCAGCTCATGGGTCCCACGCCCTGCCTGGTGGATCTGGGGGTCAGATCCTGCTGCGAACATGCAGTCTTCATCAGGGTTGCTTTCCCATGCAGGCTCACATGAGAATGGGTCAGGAACAAGCTGAGCTCTGCCAAGTCAGCAGCACAGCTTGGCCTGAGTATGCGGCTGAGGGATTGGCCCTGTAAGGAGGATGGCCACTGCAGGGTCTGCTCAGGAAGGGGTCTGCGTCAGGGGGACATCCTTGTTGTGGGACTGCCCAGGGGATCTTGGTGCCAAGTGTTAACAGTCCCAAGGATGGCTGGGTCCTGGGCAGGCACCTTGAAGTTCAGTGTACCATGGACTTGACTCCAGGGTGCAGAGACCTAGCACTGCACCTGGCTGGGAGCTGGAATCAAACCCACCCACCCGCCTTGGGTCTCTAGGAAGGGGGCAGGGTCTTGCCGTGGCTCTCGCCAGCTTTGCTGCTGTCTGGGCAATGAGCATGGAGGCACTGGCCATCACAGGTCAGGGACCATGGAGGGTACAGAAGGCATCTTGCAAGCTACCAAACCCCTAGTGCAGCCTCTGGCAGCTGAGGTCACACGCAGCAGCCTGGCAGGGGCCTGGGATGAGAACCCGGGAGTTCCTGCTCTGGTACGAAGTGTGCCGAGCTGGGCCCTTGGCTCTTTGCCTGGGCTCCTACTGGGGCCATATCACTTGCACATCTCCTCTTTCCCAGCAAACGACACCTCCCACAAAGGCCAGACATTCAAGGTCAAGATAATGCACATCAACGCAACTGCCCTGTTGGAATGCCCTGAGTACAAGTGCCCCTCCCTGCCACCACAGATACTGCAGGCTCTGGCACCGCGGGACCACAGGAAGCCCACCCCGCTTCAGAGCACCCTGCTCTGTGTGCTGCGCGAGGTGCTCGGTGACGAGGACAAGTGGCGCATCAGAGTGGACACCATCTACGGCTGGCAGCTCAGTGAGCATGACATCTTTCCCAAGCAGGGACGGAACAGCTTGCAATTGCCCCCTTGGTGCCAGCAGGCACGTGACATCAGCTTCTCTGGTCTCCAGGCCCGGGTGCCTTACGGTCCTGAAGTGGCAGACCTCACTGTGCCCTTCTGCCAGTGCCCCCTCACTGCCCCTACAAACCTGCTGTCCCAGCCCCAGAACCCACTGAGGCGCCATCCCAGAGTCCCCTGCCGAGCAGGGACCACAAGTGATGCCAGGCTGGGTTTGTGGTGGGTGCTGGGCTGAGACCCGCCAGGTGTTATACCCCTGAACCCACCCTCCTGGGGCAGAAGGCTGTCCAGCTCCAAAGCTGTGTGTGAGTAGTAGCGCGACCCAGCCAAGCTGTTGGTCTTGGGTTCTGGGGGCGGAGAGGGGAGGACTTGCCTCCCTCTGCTGTAGGTCCCCTTTTCCCATCTCATATCCCCACCACCCCTCCTCTGTTCCTGTCCATCCAGCACTGGGTGCTTTTGCATCAGCCATCGCACCCTTCCTCCACTCTGCAGCCTTGTCAAATTCAGTGTTCGCCCCTCCATGGCAGGCACTGGTCCAGCTGGCTGCCACACCATCATTGCAGCTCATGGGCCCCACAGTCCTCCTCTTGGACCCTGGGGATAAAATCCTGCTGCAGACACCTGCTTGGGGGGGTGACAGCAGGGTCCTCCCCTGCTCTTTGCAGGCACCAGAGGAGAGGCCTGCTGTGCCTCTGCTGTTGGCTAGCACCTGGAGGCAGCAGCTTAGTATGACATGGGGCTCGATGTGCTCCGTGGGCTACTCAGCTGCTTGGTCTGGGAGGTGAGGGGTGGATGACAGCCCAGTGCCAGACCTAATGATTCCTTGTGGTTCACTTCTCTCTGGGGCAGCTGCTGAGGTGCTGCTGAACAGTGACAACCAGCCCATTCCCCTGAAGGATTTTGTTGCTCCCCACCTGTTTTCCTCAGAAGGGACAGAGCTGTTGCCACCACGTGCCAGGAGGTGAGTCTTTTGTGCGGGCCCTGCGGGGGGGGGGGGTGTCACTTACTGAAAGGTCCCTTCCCCTGGGCATTGTGCAGAGGGCACTGCTGAGGTGTCACCCTTACCCTGCTGGGGCCAGCGTAGGACAGAGCTGGGCGGTTGAGAGCCTGCTCAATCTGCTCCGGGAATTTATACACATGCAGGGAGCCTTCTCCAATGCGCAGGAAATCCAGCATATTGGAGCAGACTCGATTAATTGAGTCTGCTGGAGCTCGTAAACTGACACAGTCTGGCAGCCTCACACATCACGTTTATCAGCGGCGCAGTGCACCTCCACGCTGAGAAAATGGCAGCGGCGTGCTTTGAACTAAAAACGCATTCAGTGTGCTTTAGTTCAAAGCACATTGCTGCCATTTTCTCAGCACGGAGTCACGCTGCACTGCTGGTGCACAGGACACCCGGGCGCCTTTTTAATTAGTGCGGCTCGCTAATTAAAAGTGCCCAGAGCTGCATCGGGAGCACATGGAAAAATGCCTGCTGAGCCTAGCCACCACATCTCATTGGGGAACAAGATGACAGGTGTGGACTGGGGAGGCGCAGACTGGTCGGGTTCTGCTCCTTAGCTGCCAGAGCCACCCCCCCTTCTAGTTAGCTGCTTTTGAGGTGCCAGTCTAGGCCTGGGGGTCGGACCAGCTGAAGACACTGATCACAGCGACCAGCCCTTCCACGTGGAGCAGAGTCACATCAGTCTGCCAGGGCTGGGCTTGGTGGCAGAGGCCCCAGGGTCTGAGCTGCCCCCTCGCTGGGACTGGGAGGAGCTCCTTCGGCACCAGACCTGTTCTGTTTTTTCAAATAAGTCCCTCAGTCCGGTCCCTCTCCCTGCACTTGCACTCTCATGAGCTCAAAGCATCGCAGGGCTGGAGAATGTCCCAGGTACTGGCGTCATCTGTGCTCAGGGAAAGGGGCTGGCACCCCGTACCTCAGGATGATGCACGTCTGTCCTGTCCTGTCCAGCACGTTCCAGAGAGATCACGGGGTATCTGTGAGCTGCGGGCTGGATTGGGAGCCCCAGTCCAGGGGTCGACATGACCACATCCTGCCAGGGACAGAGCAGTCGATTAGATGCCACCAGCTGAGACAGGCCCCGCTACCACTGCCAGGTGCTGAGCAGGCAGCCAGGTTGCTGTCTGGCTGTCTTGGGACACGGAGCATGCTGGACAGCAATGGGGCTGAGCAAGGACCAGTCTCCAAGTCACACCGCCTTGTCCCCTCCCCACCCCACAGGATGGCTTTCCTGCCCTGGGAGTTCTCCAACTTCTGCCACCAGAACAAGGACCTGCTGGGCGGCTTCGCTATGGCCCGGCGACACCTGCAAGCTGCTGGCTTTATAGTCGTGGAGGTAAGTAGCCGGGCTGGGGTCCCCCCACTACACGCACACGCCCATGTGCACCCGCTCTGCATTTCACTGGGCGCTTCTTGGTAGTGTAAACTCAGCTGGGTGCCCTCTCCTCCAGGACCTGAAAGCCAGGCTCTTAGTGCTCATTGATCTCCCGGCAGAGGCTCCACTCTGGGAGGGCCATTCATTATTTAGCTTCCTGCGGGAAATTATAATTCCCCCATCACTGGCACCTGGCCCTCTGGCTGGCAGTAGCAAGAGCCTCCCTGCTTGGGCGTTGCTGTCCTGCAGGGAACCTGTCCTGATTTCCCTCCCCGAATCGTGTCCAGCTGTGCTCTCCAGGTCAAGGGCAGTCTGGTGCCTCTGGTTTCATCCCAGCCCTCCTTGCATGACCTTGACCACAGGGCTGACCTCAGCCTCCGGCTCATAACCTGGGGGCAGGATCATCAGCTGGGCACTGCCGTGGGGAAGGCAGGTACTTCGTGTTTTCCTGGCTGCAGGTGCTACTGCACCAGCCCCCAGACCCACGGGGGAGTGGGTCTGGGAAGGGGTTCTGTCAGGCAAGGCCCAGATCCCAAGTGATGGGACCCAGGGCAGGAGCAGGGAGGCAGTCTCCCTCCCACACCCTTTATGAAACACGACCCAGGAAACCCCACGTCAGAGCTTAGCTCAACCAGTGCCAGGCATCAGTCAGCACTGATTGATCCCCAGCCCTCGCTGGGCAGAGGAGCGCGATCCAGGAGCCGGGAATGCAGCAGAACACGGCTCCCAGGTCTCTGCCTGCCTCCCACTGCCAGGCCTGGTCTCCTCGGGGATGCTCCTCTCGCCTCAGCCTGAGTGCAGACACTCATGCCAGGCAGAGGCAGCTGGGGTGGGGAGTGGCACCCCCAGGCTCACCGGGTGGCTACAAGCCTGTCTGAGAGGGTCTCCTGTGTGGCTTGGCTGGTCCTGCAGTTGGGGTTGTGGGCTGGACCCCCAGCAAGTCTCCTCTGCCAGCACCATGCAGGGGACTGGAGCTGCTGACTGTGCCCAGACCCCCTCCCTTTTCCAAAGTGCTGCCACCTCCGCAGTGACGGTGATGCCGAGTGATTCATGCTCCCTGTCGCGCCTGGTTGCATAACTGCTCCCGTGCTGCGGGCGCGGGGGGGCTTTTCCAGCTCCTGGGAGCCTCACACTGCAAGCCCAGAAGCTAAATATAGAGACGGGGAGAATCCACTTCTTTCCTCTGCCCCGTCCTGGGCCAAGGAGGCAGCCCAGGCACATGGGGGTCAGCATGAAGTGCCCGGCTCTCCTGGGAAGGCTGCAGCAGGGCCAGGGAGGCCCAGGTTGGCGCTTCATCCATTAGGCCAGGGGCACAGTATATGCTTGTTGCGGGGGGGGTGGCCTCGATAACCCCAAGCCTGGTGCCAGCTGTGAGTTGGAGCCTACCTTGTGCAGGGCGGTGGGAGCTGTCCTCCCCCACACAGGCATGCTGATGGGAAAGGCGGTGCTCTGAGCTGCAAGTGCTGCGCCGGCTGGCCCTCTTCCAGCTCGCCTAGAAGCAGCCAGCCATGCCCAGCCCTGCAGCCAGGAAATAGCACCAGTCCCCAGGGCTTTCCCTGGGCTGAGGGGGCGGTCTCCGGGCAGGGTCCTGGCTTCCTTGTAGAGCGTACAGTCTCCCTGCTTCACAGGATGGCCTCACTCCCCTCCATCCCTGAGCCTGTAAGCCACGGTCTGCTCAGCCCTGCTCCGTCGCTATCTCGAGATCCAGCCCAGGGCGAAGGGAGCAGCCTGCAGGGGCAAGGGCTGTGCGAAATGGATGTGCAAAGGGAGGAACAGGACCGTGAAACGTTCCCGGCACCGTGATTAGTTCCCAGGGCGATTTTTCTCTGCTCCAGTGCATTCTCGCTGCCTCCCCTGCTCTTCCAGTGCTGTGCTCTGCATAGTGGCTTCCCACAGCCCTACATGCAGCTCTGCCCGTCTGCCGTTGCATGCTGGGCTTTGTTCTCAGGGGCCCGTTTGACCAGGCTGGCTTCAGGGTGCCAAAGTTACCTTGAGTGCTGGGGGTGACATCTGGGTTCTGCAGGCAGTGGCAGCCTTGTAATGTGCCTCGGCCGCCCCAGAGCCACCCCCACCTCATTAAGTTAATTGCAGCAGGGCTGGCAGCACCCCTGGACCTGCTGTTGGATGCTGGCTCCCCACGCCTCTACCTCCGCTCAGCGTGTCCTTCCACTTATGCACAGCCCCTCTGCCGATAGGTGCTCTGGGCCGCAGCCGTGCAGGGGGTTCCTGTCAGCTGTGCTGTTTGCTTGCAGCCGTGTCACACTCGGGGCTCCTCTTTCCCATAGGAGCACTGGCACAGCCGGCTGCCATAGCAAAACCTGTAGCACACGGGCCCCACCGCTCTGCCGGTGAGCTCTGGGGGGTATATCTACTGCAGACATCCATCCATCCATCTCACAGGGTGGGATCCATCGTGGGATGCAGGGGCTCGACCCAACCGACTCCCCAGCGTGGTCCTGCTGAGAGCTGCCTGTGTGGTATATGGGGCTGGAGCTTTGCTCGAGGCCCCCTTGTTAGGAGGCAGCCGCGGAGCATTTGTGGCTGGCGCCCTGTTGCCTTCAGCATGGAGCACCCTGGTATGTGAACTCCGTGCAAGGCTCCAGGTGCAGCATGCTCCACGTTGCACACCCTCCTCCTGGGCCAGCCTGAACAGCAGTCAGGGAGGCTGCCAGCACGCATGCGCTCCCCCAGCACGTGCTGCTGGCAGGGGCAAGGGGAGACGGGCCAGAGCTGCCAGCCGCAGCAGTGCGGGGGCTGCATCTTTGCCACAGGAGTGTGGAGGGGACACCCTGAGCTGCCTGCTGTGATTCACCCTGTGGGAGAAGCTGGCCACTGTCTGTGCAGTGGAAGAGAGTCTCCTCGAGGCTCTGCACCCCTGGCCATGCCCTGGCACAGGTGGGGGATGAACCCTGAGCTGGTGGCTGTGGTGCACTCCTGCCTCTCCATCAGGGACCAGCCTGCCAAGCCCCCAGCTCAGCCCCTGGCCCTCACCCATCCTGTGTCTCCTGCAGGTCCCGTGGTACGAGTTCCAGGAGCAGAAATCAGACACACAGAAGATCGCCTACATCAAGGGCAAGATGAGTAAAGCCATAGCCAAAGAGATGGCTAAGTAACCCCAGTCCGGCTGAGGTGGGATGAGAGGAGGCTGCTGCGTGACCCGCTGCTGCCGTATAGAAACATTCACCGGAATAAAGCACTATTGTACAATCCAGCTGGCATGGCACACAGCTGTGTTCACCAGCCCGGCTTGTGCGCGCAGCACGGTGTGCTTGCCCTCTTCGCTCGGAGCGGACAGCTGTGCATGCTGCCTGCTGCTATTTGGGGCTGGGGGCAAGAGTTGGAAGAGCCACTGGGTGATCCCTTCCCCTGTACAGTGCCCCAAAGGGGTCCCAGGGCTGCCAGGGAAGCTGTGTTTGTGGACCTTCTGCTGGGGTTAATAACTAAATAAAGTCTCCTTCCCACATCTGTCCTGGTTTGAGCCCAGCACCAGAGCTGCTTGCGCCGCAGGGGCACTTCAAGGCAATGGAGACAAGGGGAGCCTCTCGCCTGGGCTGGGGCTTGCTGGAAAGACAAGCCTACAAAGAGGCTCCTGGCCTATGCCGGCAGGCACTAATACCCGTCCAGCCGTCCTTGGAGCTGAGCCAGGACAGAAGCAGGCTCTGTTTGGGAAGTGGACGCAAAGCCCAAGGTGGGACTGGGACCAGCAGAGCTGGCAGCCTGGCCGTCTTAGTGCTGGGTGTGATTGCAAATAAGCAGTGGCTCGGGGGCTAGGGCTCGGATCCATGGGTGCAAGGCGACAGCGAGCCAGGAACTGCTGCTGTCTCTCCTCCCGCTGGCACGACAGCCCCCGAGCCATTCGGGGCACAGCGCTCTCCAGCCAGGCTGACATAATCGGCCGCGCTCCCTGGTGCCGGCGCGGCCCCGGGCTGGCGCTTTCCAGCAGACCATGCATCAGCACATCCTCAGCCCACCCCACCCCCACGCCGGCTCCAGAGCCTTCCCCTGTCCCCGCTGTGTGCTGGCCGGCACGTGTGCAAGCCCGGGGTGCCCGCACCGGGTCAGGACAGCGCACAGCGAGGCCTCACCATGGGCTTGGCTAGGGGCCTGGCTTGAAACTAGGCCCTGGCAAAGCAGGGTGGCAGCAGCTGAGCTCAGATGAGCCGAGTGGCAGTCCCTATCCAAGGCTGGGCTGTCATGGGAGCCCCACTATAATCAGCAGCCCCTTTGCCCTTTGGGCATCACAGCCGTCCATGCCCTGCCCCTTGCTACGCCCTGGGCGTGATGCAGAGGGGGAGCCCTGGGAACAGGGCTGGGGCTGTGCCCAGTGTGTCTCTGCCACAGATCCCCTGGGTGGCCTTGGGCACAGCCCTTAGCCTGGTTCATGCCAGGGAGTCTCTGGAGAAGGGGGCTGGGTGCTGCCATAGTGCACCGCTTGCACGGTGTCCAGCCAAGTCAATGCCAGGCCCAAGCTGGTGCCCTGGAGCAGGTCTCCCAGGCAGCGCGGGGGGCACCGGGTCACGAGTAGGTGTCCAGAGACCTCGGCCTCGGGGGTCCCAGTGGCACTGGCCTGAGCCAGGGGGCAGGCCTGGCACCAGAGACCTCGCAGGAGATGGGCAGCACGCTCCCCTGTGAGCCCCAGAGCCAGGTCCGGGCTCTGAAGCAGAGGGAAGCACCACCTGAGCCGTGCTGCCAGGCCCCACCCCGGCCTTGCCAACCTGTGCCTCAGTTTCCCTACCTCCATACAGGGAGGCTGGGAGCCAGGCCGTCTCGGGGCAGGGGTCTGCGTTGTCTCCGGTTCTGTCCGTCTCAGCCCGGGGCAGGACGCGGTGACCAACTCCTGGGAAAACCGGCTGCCCCGTAACACGCAGGCTGCAGAGACTCGTGTTGCTGGCGTTGGCCTGGCTCTGCGTTTCCTGCTTCTCGCCTGCGTTGGGGGGGGCAGCAATCACCCCTGGCCCTGGCACCGACCCCTTCCGACAGGCACCGCTGCCGAACCTGACACCCTTCCCCCTGCGCGGCGCCCGATTCCCAGCCCGTCCCAGGACTCCAGGAGCTGGGGCTTTACCAGCAGCCCCCACCCATGCCCGGCTCTCGCAGTGCCCTGGGGAGCGGGGCACGGGCACGTGGCCGGGGGCTTCCTCAGGGGTGGTGGGACCCCCGCCCCGGCCGTCTGCCAGGAGCACCAGCAGTTGAAAAGCTGTTGCCAGTGCCCCCGTGAGCCAGGCCATGTGTGTGCAAGCAGCTGAAGGGAGGTGTGCGTGCACGCGCATACGCATGTGCACGTGTCTGTGTCCATGCATGTGTGCTTGAGTGTGTGTGCATGTGCCAGTGTGTGTGTGTGTGTGTGTGTGTGTGTGCGTGCACGCGCACATGTTCCTGTGTGTCCATGTATTTGTGCATGCAGTATGCTTGGGGAGGGGGGGGGTGTGTGCACTGTGTGTGTACACCTGTGTGTGCATGTGTGTGTGCCTATGCCATGTCCATGCATGTGTGTGTATGTGTGTATGTGCCAGTGTGTGCATGTGCACACCTGTGTGGGTACACCTGTGTATCCATGTGTGTGCACTGTATGTGTGTGCACCTGTGTGTGTGCGTGCATGTGTGTACATGCATGTGTGTCTGTGTGTGTGTGCATACTGGGTGTGTGTGTATGTGTGCACACACCTGTGTGTGTGTCTGCACCTGTGTGTCCATGCATATGTGCAATCCTTTGTGTGTCCATGCATGCATGTGCACTGTTGTGTGTGTGTGCGCGCGCGCGCGCGCGTGCATGCGTGTGCACACACCTGTGTGTGTGCATGTGTGTGCGTGCATGGCTGGCTGTAGAGGCGGGACCCCCACGATGCCTCAGCTGCTCTGCCATTGGCTAGTTTGGATCCGAGGGGGGGGTGGTTAACTCGTTGTCATGGCAACCAA